ATACCTGAGAATATATTAATGTACAAATATCTAATATTCGCCGGAGGGACGGGGGGCTGAGAGTGAGGGGTATTAATTAAAAACGAAGCGATGTTTCCGAGCCGAAGTTTGGACTCGGACCATGCCTACTGGGCCTGCTGGGCTTGGTGTATTCTCATTGAATACATTCCCGAGAATACCCCTCACTCTCAGCCTCCCGCCCCTCCGGCGAATATTAGATATTTGTACATTAATATATTCTCAGGTATCCTCAATGAGAATACACATAGCCCAGCAAACTCAGCAAGCCTTGAATTAATTAATCCCAGCAACTAACCATCCACTTTTAGTGTCAAATATTTTTTTCAATTACGATTTAGTTAACACTGATTTCTTCCTTCTACTTTTTGGGATTATAACAAATATTTCTTTGGTGATATACATATAAACACACGCGTAAATATAGTGGTTACATCAAGGGGGAAACACCGTACTCCACTAACTCCGTCACTCCGCGAAGTTTAACAAGAGTGGACGGAGTAGTGGAGTGATTCGAAGCGTCGGAGTTACCCAGGAATGAATGGAGTTTGATGTTTTCGACTGACATGCTTTGCTTTCTCAAATTCTGTTTTCATTTGCAGCATAGTTCAGCTCCTAATGTTCCCATAATTTCCAATGTTCCCATAGTCCCTAATTCTTTTACACTTCCTATAGTTCTCAATGTTCTATGGAAACGGAAACATTAGGAACTATGGGAATACTGGGAGCTATGAGAATATTGGGAAATATGGGAACACTGGGAACTATGGGAATTATGGAAACTGCTATTATTATCGCTCCTTGAAGACCTTGGATTGTTAGAATGCCACAAATCTTACGAGACGCAGAGAAGTTAGTGGCATAGTAAGCGCACCTCAGCCGCAGAAAACTACATTGATTCTAGCAACGAACTGATATTAGCGTTTCCTATGTGCGAATACACATTCTCTGGAGGTTCGAGCATGAATATTCCTTCGCACACGCCAAGCATTGCCTTATCGATAAATTTCACACGTGAACAAAAGACATTAACCTTTCTTACTTTTATTTGAAGATCGAATCCCATTCACAAGTTGGACCAACTTACAAATGGTTGATTCCATTGACTGTCAAGATAAAGAGTTTGATTCAGTTTTAATGCATCGGCGATCGCTTCAGCTCCGGTCGCAGATATTTGGTTGCATCCCAGATTAAGAATAGTTAGAGTTTGGTTGACTACCAGTGCTTCAGCGATTGTTTCAGCTACTCTATCAGGTATTTGGTTATGCCAAAGATTAAGAGTACTAAGAGTCTCATTGACTTTCAATGCATCGGCGATTGCTTCAGCGCCCGTCGCAGCTATTTGATTGTAACACAGATGAAGACTAGTTAGTGTCTGATTGACTTTCAGTGCATCGGCGATTGCTTCAGCTGCTTTGTCGGATATTTCGTTTAACGTAAGATCAAGATCAGCAAGAGTTTTATTTAGTTTCAGTGCATAGGCTATTGCTTCACCTCCTTTGTCAGATATTTGGTTGGACGCAAGAATAAGAGAGGTAAGAGCTTTATTTTGTTTCAATGCATCGGCGATTGTTTCAGCTCCTTTGTCAGATATTTGGTTGGACGTAAGAGTAAGAGCAGTAAGACCGTTATTTTGTTTCAATGCATCAGCGATTGCTTCACCTCCTTTGTCAGATATTTGGTTGGACGCAAGAGTAAGAACAGTAAGGCCTTTATTTTGTTTCAGTGCATCGGCGATTGCTTCAGCTCCTCTGTCAGATATGTTGTTCGACCGAAGATCCAGAGTAGTTAGAGTTCGATTGACTTTCAGTCCATCGGCGATTACTTCAGCTCCTTTGGTAGATATTTGGTTGGATCCAAGATTAAGAATAGTTAGGGCTGTATTTAGTTTTAATGCATCGCCGATTGCTTCGCCTCCTTTGTCCGATATTTGGTTGGATGTAAGAGTCAGAGTAGTAAGAGTTTGATTCACTTCCAGTGCATGGGCGATGACTTCCATTTCATAATCAAATAGTTTGTTGATCGAAAGATCAAGATCGATAAGACTTCTATTGACTTTCAATGCATCGGCGATTGCTTCAGCTCCTCTGTCAGATATGTTGTTACACTTTAGATTTATACTGGTAAGAGTTCCATTGATTTTTAATGCATCGGCGATTGCTTCAGCTTCTGGGTTAGATATTTGGTTGCCACCAAGATCAAGGGTTCTAAGAGTTTGATTTACTTTCAATCCATCGGCGATTTCTTTAAATCCTTTGTCAGATATTTCGTTGTATTCCAGATTAAGAATAGTTAGAGTTTTATTTACTTTCAATGCACGGGCGATTGCTTTACATCCTTTGCCAGATATTCGGTTGAATGCAAGATTAAGAGCTGTAAAACTTTTGTTGACTTTCAATGCATCGGCGATTGCTTCAGCTCCTGTGGCAGATATTTTGTTACCGGAAATATCAAAGGTTCTAAGACTTTTATTGACTTTCAGTGCATCGGCGATTGCTTCAGCTCCTGTGGCAGATATTTTGTTACGGGAAATATCAAAGGTTCTAAGAGATTGATTCACTTTCAATGCATCAGCGATTTCTTCAAGTTCTTTGTCAGATATTTGGCTGAATCCAAGATTAAGAGTAGTTAGAGTTCGATTGATTTTCAATGCATCGGCGATTGCTTCAACTCCTGCGGCAGATATTTTATTGCTGGAAAGATCAAGGGTTCTAAGAGTCTCATTGACTTTCAATGCATCGGCGATTGCTTCAACTCCTGCGGCAGATATTTTATTGCTGGAAAGATCAAGGGTTCTAAGAGTCTCATTGACTTTCAATGCATCAGCTACTGCTTTACCTCCTCGGCAAGATATTTCGTTACCGCGAAGATTTATACTGGCAAGAGTTTGGTTGACTTTCAACGCATCAGCGATTTCTTCAGCTCCTGTGTCAGATATTTTGTTCGACTTCAGATTTAGAGTGGTTAGAGTCTGATTGACTTTTAATGCATCGGCGATTGCTTTATGCCGTCTCTTAGACATTTTGTTCCTAGTAAGGGCAATAGTAGTAAGAGTTTGATTGACTTTCAATGCATCAGTGATGCCTTCAGCTCCTTTGCCAGATATTTGGTAGAATTCAAGATTAAGAGTAGTTAGAGTTGGATTGATTTTCAATGCACCGGCGATTGCTTCAGCTCCTCTGTCGGACATGATGGTCCACTTCAGATTTATACTGGTAAGAGTTCGATTGATTTTCAATGCATCGGCGATTGCTTCAGCTCTTGGGTTAGATATTTGGTTGCCAGAAAGATCAAGAGTTCTAAGAGATTGATTCACTTTCAATGCATCAGCGATTTCTTCAAGTCCTTTGTCAGATATTTGGCTGAATCCAAGATTAAGAGTAGTTAGAGTTCGATTGATTTTCAGTGCATCGGCGATTGCTTCAGCTCCTGTGGCAGATAGTTTATTGCCGGAAAGATCAAGGGTTCTAAGAGTTTGATTGACTTTCAATGCACCAGCGATTGCTTCACCTCCTTTGTCAGATATTCGGTTGGATGCAAGAATAAGAGTAGTAAGAGTTTGATTTACTTTCAATGCATCGGCGATGGCTACAGATCCTTTGTCTGATATTTCGTTGGATTTAAAATTAAGAATAGTTAGAGCTGTATTTAGCATCAATGCATCGACGATTGCTACACATCCGTTGTCTGATATTTCGTTGAATTGAAGATCAAGAATAGTAAGAGTTCGATTTACTTTCAATGCTTGAGACAAGATTACTGCATCGATGTCGTCAAGGCGTCGTTGTTCCAAGTGAAGTGTTGATGTTGAATTAATGCTGTACAATGTTTGTTGCAGCGTATTGTTTTTCGCAAGAAGTTCTAGAAAAATTCTATATTTACAAGTTTTGAAATCATATTCAACCTTGTGAATTGTAAACTTTGTGCCTGCTGGAAGTAGTACTTCTTCCTCTTGAGGATAGTGTGAATAGGAGGAGATGTCTAAGCCACTCAAAATTGACATGCGAATAATAAATAACGTGTTTCCATATATTCTAGCTACATCGTGGTTTTTGGTTGTTGAAGTGAACCCAAACCAACACTTTTGTGCGCTTACTGCTCGTTTATAATGTTCAATCATATCTAGATCAAGATTTGCACCGCGATATACTTCTGTCGTAATATTTGCATCAAGATTATACCACGAATAGTATAAATAGTGGCAAAATGGACCGAGGGTATCTAGTTTGGTCTTATCATTTTCTCTCAATGTTTTGTTAACTAATGGGTATAGAAAGCTGTCGTATGTATAGAGTTTAATGCAGCTCTTATAAAGTTCTAGGTCATTCTTATTTTTCACGGTTCTTAGTTGTCGTGCAATCCATTGCGCTTCAGAATGTTTACCTAGTTGATTTCCTTCGATAATTATTCCATTTGCTGCTTGTTCTACTTTATTACTATTGGAAACATTCCTGGGCTGTTTGTCGTGCCATTCCTTAATAAACCAATAACCCCCATGGGACCACTCATTGAACGGTTTGCCCAATGAGAGTGGAAGTAAGAATCTTTCTTCTCTTAAACACTTATTTTCATTTCTATTATTTAAAATCCGTTTTATCTGTCTTTGTTGATTTTTATCCGATCTACTGATTTGAAGAGATTGAGTTAAGTCAATCCAATAGTTATCCAATTCAACCGGTTTTGTTTTATTATTTTCGTTAAATGCTTCTTCAATAATTTCTGATTCAATATCGGAATATTTTGTCCAATCTTCGATTTCATTTATTGACAATGGGTTTGAAGTTGATTGCCAGTACCATTGAGGTGACGACATTGTATGCTGATCGGCTACTTCCCTTATTTGATTTGTCATTGGTTTCATCGTTACAGAGTGATTGTTACTAGAAATATCGGATGAGCTAAAAAGGACATTGAAGAAATAGCATTAGAAAAACACTCATTGAGGATTCCAAGAATATTTGCGAACGCTTATGATTTTACATTTTGTGTTCAAACTGCATCTGGGTTTTCCAATGTTAACGAAAATTTGATATTTTAGGGTTTTATTTGGACAGATGCTCTCCTCTTCGAGAAAATATGTACTGTTTATACTTTCAATTCCACCTTGATTAGTTACATAGGAGGAATATTTAACTTTGATAACTCAGTTCCATTTATCACGACTAAAATAGTACAACGTTGACTAAATCCTATTGAATTAAACTTCCCTGTTCTCTCAAATGTTAACTATTAGTATTTCTGATTGATTTCTTATTCTTTGAACGTAGAAAATTTCTTTTATTACGTTTTGATTCGTCATCTATCTTAAGCGTCCCTCAGAAAGTCGAATTTTCTTTTGGGCATTAACAGCAGTTATGGAGAGAGATATTAATAGTAAAATTTGTATTTCCAACTGGTGTAACAATGGAATCTTTTAACTATTTTTTAACTAGAACTGTAAAATAGACCTACTTCTACAAAATGAGATATCGATGCATTTTATAAGATTTTTTTGTCAAAATACATAACTATTTACTAGAAAAAAGTCACCAATTATAACTTTTTCGATAATTCGCCCATTAACACATTCAGTCACATATCGAACCATTGTGATAAACTGATTCATATTAACCTGAGCTATGGTAAACTTTTTTTGTCCTTTACTCAGCATGTACACTTGATATCCGAAAGTCTTTATTAATGGAAGAGCATCTCTAAAACCGCGATCAACTATGAGTGTATCATCCGTTTCTAGCGAGTCTAAAATTTCTTCGTTATTATTGAGACTCGTTTCCGATTGATCATGTTTAATTTTGTCTATAGCCGACACTTTTAAAATATCACCTTTCGGATAGCTAGGATAGCATCGACTATCTTCTTTCAAATAGATGTTGTGAGAAAGAATAGTTTTAAGCCTAACGATATTGGGAATATGAATCGAGCTTTTCTCCACAAAACCTAAGCGGCAAATAGAACAACATTATCGGAAAGAAGGTAGAACGATGATAGGAAAAGAAATCAGATTACGTTTAAGTAAACTACAATCGACTCCAACCTCACGAGTGGCAGTGCTAGCCACTTGGATCGTGGACTGCATCACATAGGTTGTTGCATTTTCCGATAAATCCACAGGAAAATCGATTCTCGACTTATCGGTTTCGGGTTACGATAGCTGATCATTTTCGTATTGCTCCCTTAACACGTTTTTATAAAGTTGTACGAGATGACTAGCAAGAGTATCTGAGAAACTATGCAGAGGCGGCGGAGCGTCATGAAACTAGGTGAGGCTTGTACTATTTTTTTCCACTGAAACTATGTATATTACTATTCATCTAAAAAGCACACTATAATCTTCGAAGTAATGACTCAAAACAAGTTGAATCAATCCAGTACAGATAAAAATCTTTCTTTAGTACTGCTCTTTCAAACAGAAATATGTTACTACTACTTAAGCCTCAAGTGCTCAAAGAAA